ATATATATATATATACATATATATGAGATTATTATTTTTTCTGTTATCTATAAATTATTTTATTATTTTTTTCTGTTGAATTAATACCCTTACCCATGTGTAGATGTGTAGTAGTCAGTTTTTTTATCAATCTCTTAGAACTAATAAACAAATTCAGCAAAGATGTAGGATACAAAAACAACACACAAAACTCAGTTGCGTTCCTATTCGCCAATGATAAATCCGCCAAGAAAGGAATTAGGAAAACAATCCCATTTATAGTTGCTTCAAAAAATTAAATACCTGGGAATTAACCTAACTGAGGAAATGGAAGACTTCTATAAAGAAAATCATAGTACTCTGAAAAAAGAGATTAAGAGCACATTACAAATTGGAAAGATATCCCCTGTTCCTGTACAGGCAGAACCAATGCTAATGGATAAGTTCAAGGAGAAAAAGTTTATTTCAGACCACAGTCTGTAGAAGTTTCAGTCCGTAGTCAGATGGTTCCAAGGCAGGACAGCATGGTAGATGGGCATTGCAGAGAAGAAACACATAAGGCGGGCAGAAGCAGCAGCAAACAACACACAGCAATTCTGCCTTCCCTTTCTCCTTTATATTCCATCAGGACAACCTCCTATTGAGTGGAGACACCCATCTCACCACGGGGCTTCCGTTATCCACTTCCAGAACTATGCTAATTCCAATCAGTGGACTATTTAGTGCCACGCACCCTTAATCACAGTATCACAGGCCCTAGACCCAACCAGCTCCAAAAAGTCGCACTTACTCATTCATTAAGCTTGGAAGTATATCTAGTTATAAGCCATAGCCAAATTGTTTTCTGACTTTTAAAAAAACATTCATAGGTGGTACTATCTTTTATAGCTGTGTTATTTGCAGGAAAGCTTCATTATGGTTAGATGTAGAGTAAGATAACGTTTTACCCTTGGGATGATGCATTTTTAGCCCTAAAGATACTCAACAAAGATAATAGAATTATTTCTGCATTTGATTGGTAACTCTTACTCTGTGGATATGGTTTCATCTTGGATTTGAAAGTTTCCACAACTCTGTATAGCAATTTATATTTACAACATCTTAAATCATGTCTTACTCTACTTTTTCTCACTTATTTCAGAATTTCTTAGTTTTAACATTAAATCATGAAAGAGTCCTCCTAGAATAATATATCCCATGTGTGCATACAGAAACAAAGAAAATGAAATATTAATTTATGCCATGTGGACTAAATGGATATATGTATACTTTTATTGGAAATCATGGGGCATATCATTATCCTCATTTTTACTTTTATAATATCTAGCTTTCTGTAAAATAAGTCTGAGAAAAGTAAATTTAGATCAACACTAATGAAGAAATTTTTATCATGTATGTTGTTTACTCCTGATTTAGTATAACAACAGAGAATTTCAGACTGAGCATATGTCACTTATATTGTTCACATTTCTGTGGATGGATTAGACATTTACATTCTAACAAAAATGTCAATGGGGAAAAATAATATTATCAATTATTTTACATTATTACCTTTACTCTATAGAGCTAGGATGAGCCTTTCACAAAATGAGGAGCTGTCTTAGATGCTACTTTTGATAATCGATACAGAATTGGGTGGCTCTTTAACATGACAGTTTATTTAGACAAAGACCAGCAGCATTTATTTTATGATCAGTGTGTGCATTGGATAGTTAACACTACTTGCTCCTCATTGTCTCAAGGGTCTAGACTCTATTTAATGTGACGGTGGTTCTTAAAATAGGAGTAGAGTGTCCTATGTTTATTGCAGATTGCAAGTCCATCTCCATTATACATTGATAATAGACCTTTAAGAATTGATTGGGTATTCTCATATTTCCCCATACCCCTGCCCTCTCTTCAGGTACAAGGTCCCAATGATGAATGTAACTCTACTGTATACCTAAAAAGTACCAATAAACTCAATGAGGAAAAAAAAGAGAATCGATTGGATATTGAAAACTGGAAGGGGTTAGGTAAAGGTGTTTAGATAGAGATTAAGAAGTTACCTGGAGATAGTGAAAATGAGATTTTAATCATGCATGTTTTGAGATTCCTACAAAGAAAAAGATGATTAATCCAATTTGATGTCAAGGTAAGAAGGATACCCAGAGTAGAGTAATGGGAGTTATTCTGTAAAGCTCACACTGGGAGTATTTTGAATTCCAGGAGGAAACATTTACTTTTCAATTTGTACATCATGAGAAATTATATGGCCAAATCTGTATTTTAGTGGTTGATGGATGGTACTACTTAGAGGCTAAATTAGAGAGAAGAGGCTGAAAAAGTGAGAGTAGGTCACGTGGACTGACAAACAATGAGAGCCTAGATGGAATGGGAGGAATAAAACTGAGCAAGCACTATATCAACTGAAGGCAGCGGCAGGCTGTAGAAGGAGCACTGGCAGAATTTGCTGGTCAAAGGAAAGAGAGAGAAAGAGGGAGAGAGAGGTAATGGAGACGATGAAGAAGATTAAACCAGATACCCTTCCTAAGATTCTTTTGTAATATGATCCATTAAAGCATGAAGTAAAACAAAGTAGAGTTACTTTTGGCTTTGTCCAATGGGGACTCAAGAATAATGCTTTTTGGGACCAGGGATTTAGCTCAGTGGTTCTGCCTCCTGCCTCGCAAGGGCAAGGACCCAAGTTTAATCCCCAGTACCATAATAATAATAATAATAATAATAATAATAATAATAATAATAATAATGCTTTTTGAACTGGATCTACATATTTCTCATCATTGCAATTGCCTGATGAGCAGGCAAATTTCTTGTATCTGTGAACAGTGGTTCATTATGGTGTAGGGATGACTCGTTATCATAAAAGATACGGAGCACAGCCATGTAGGTAGATAAAGCTGAACAGCCTATTCGGGACTATCTACCATGCTGACTGTTTTTTCTGATGTCTGTAAATAACTGCTTCAGAGAGGGCTTACTTTCCTAACTAGGTGACTTTTGGGCTACTGCAGACTTTCGTGATTTGGGGAAATGTCTTCTGGTCAGTGGGTGGCAGTGTTGCACAGTAGAAAGAACACTGGTATTGTTACTACCTTTGGGTTCCTGGATTATCAGATCATGTCCAGAATTACCTGTAATTTCCTTTTAAATATAGATTCCCATGTTCTGTCCCTTAGAGATTCTGATTCATTCAATCTGAGACAGAACCCCAGGATAGACATTTAATATTCTGGGTAATTTTGAGGATTTAAATCTCAGTTGACATAGGATTTCTATGAACATTAAATGTGAAAATGCATCTGGCTTTTATAAACTTTAAATCAAAATGAAATGTAATTTCCTTCCCCAAATTACCTTTCCATCACTTTTTAAAAGACTTCATTACTTAAATCTTCTCATTGGTTTGAAAGTTTCTCATTGGTTTGAAACTAGACTACATGAGGTCATATTTGTTTGATTTTTATGCATGGTGATGAATTCTGTCCAATTTAATACACAAAATCTAGTATTAATTAGATAAATACATGACAAAAAGATGGAAGGAATACAAGAGCCTTGCTTTAATTTCTTTTAATTCAGATGGAAAAAGTTTAAATAGCAGTGAAACCTTAAAAAGGCTTATTTCTTTCTATATTTTAATACAAAATTCATGTTTATTATTGACATTGTGATAACTTAATTTACAAATATATTCAGACTTCCTAGTTTTTAGGGCAAGAGCTTAAGTTAAATACACTGTTCTTTTCATCACTTCTAATTCAAATACAGTTAACACAAAAACTTTTGTGTCAGTAATGGCAATGATGATTTTTAAACACATATAATACTTTTGAAATAGCTATCCAAATTAAGGAGATTTCAGCAGCATACATGATACCTATATAATAGTACATAGCATAAGTGTCAGTTGAACTTGAAACTTACAGATGTTGTAAACAGCCTCATAAGTGTTATTCGCAGTTTTTATACAACCAGTGTTATCTGGGTTTTTCAGTTCTGAGGAATTTTCTGGGTCCACAGTATTTTACGATGGTCCCCTGAAGTCGTCCTTCCTTCTCTAGTTGCTCAGCTTTTATTTGACTTATGCCTCTTTAACTCTGTGCCTAGTTAACTCCCGTGTCCATACATTTGGAGTCGATTTCTTCCTCCGGGACTGAAGAGCCAGCCAGGCAGCCACCCTGGCACATCCTTTCTGTCCTTGATACCTTTTAAAATCCTTTCACCCAAGAACCAGTCACTTTAGGCTACCAGCCTGAAGGTCATTTAGAAGATTTAAGTAAATATCTGATTTCAAGAACCTGGGATAAGAGTCCTTTTCCATAAGAGTATATATAATTTTTTGGGCTTCATCAAAACATGTTGGAGTGGGTGATTTAATCTTCTTGGCTGTAGATTCTTGGGTGTGAAAGTCAATATTGATCTAAAAAGAAATGCATGTTAGTTAATATATACTTCTACTTATGGTAAATTTTATGATGTTGTTGGTTTTTGTGAAGCACTTCTAAAAAGTGGTCTTAAGTCTTCATCTAATCAGTTATCTTTGAATGCCTATTCTAAATCAGTCCTATATCAAGTATGGAGAAAATAAAAAGAAAATATCACAAAATGTCTTTGCTCCAGCTTTTCTCACAGTGTAATTAAAAATGAAAAAGAGACAGAAATGAAAAATATATCCATACAAGATGGTACATATATCAAAAAAGAGTGACATGGACCTTTAAAATTTACTAGATGAGAGGGCTCTTTGTGTATCTATTTTATGCTTGGACTAAGAATATTTTACTGAAAGGTCAGCATTGCAACCTACTAGACATAATTTTGTTGCTGCAGTTGTATGTATAATGACAACATACATTTTATTCTTTGCGGTATTAAACAGTTCATTAAGGATTCCCAGACATTCAGTTCCAGCCAAGGACACCTGTTCTCATTTTCCTGCCCCCACCATTTGAGATAGTTTTGCAAAATCAGTCTTTTCATTCTCTATGCAGAAATCTTCACAGATAAAAGAATTATATTATTATTGCACTGACCTGTATGAGTATACCTACTCATACAATACAAGTATCATGGCACTCAAAAGAATCTCATCTTGATATCTATGTTGAATGTTATTTCTCTAGCTAAATTCTTTTACACATAAATGATAATGAACTAAATACTCACTTGTTTAGCTGCATCTGAATGCACAAATTCTTTATATATCTTCTGTGCTTTGGAATGCAAAAGATTGGACTCTGTTTTCTTATAGTCTTCACAAGCTAGCCAGAACTCAATATTTTCCTCACTGAACTCAGACTTTAGAAAATTTCCAAACATGTCTTGACCAGCTAAAAAGAAGGGGGAAAGATTGAGATAATTAATTTATTGAACTAAGAAGTGCATAACTTAAAAAGATTTCCAGGAAAAATGTTATCCCATTCTACACATACAAAGATAATAAGTGTTTTAGTTTGTAGAGAGCGGAGTGCCTTAGAAATTCTTCTATGTATAGTAGAGGAATCTGGGACCAAACAAACTTGTTCACAGTCATATAGCTGCATAATGTGGCCATATAATTGTCCTTTGCTTCCATCTTATAGATACCAACCTATTAGCCAGAGTTTAAGAGTATTACAGGGAAGCAAACATTACTGGAAGGGGCATTAGCATCTAATTCCTTGTCCAATCATGTTAGGCCTATATATCACCTTTGATTCTGTTACACTGATTATATTGGCTAGTGTTTCTGGTAATTATATGGACCATTTTATGCCATTTATTCACTTAGCTGAATTGAACAGCTAACCTAATAATGAGAGGGAGGGATGAACAATGTTGAATTACTTGATACCCAAGGAAAGATCCTTACAGTGTTTCTAGAGAGAGTCTTCTATCCTCCAGACAGAGACCAAACTGCTTATCTGTACCTCTGAACAGGGCTCTAATCTCTATAGAATTTCAATACCCATTTCAGGGAGAAGGCAAGTGATTTTATTCTCTCATCAGAAAATTCTCACAAGACTCTGTGTGTAAAAATTATTTTATCTATGTTGTAACACTTACTTTGGTTGGCAAGAAGTTTTTCCAGAGATTGAGACCACTGCATTACTTCATCAGCAGAAAGTCTACAGGGAACAAAATTTATATAAATTAGTAAAATATTTTTAGGTAAACCAAAGTGAAATCAAAATAATGGGTCATTTTGATAATTTCTCAAACTAAGACTAGCTCTAATAAATTTTATTAACATTTCTGTATACAGATTCCTTAGAATTACCAGTTATGAAAACAATCTGCAAATAAAATTTGAAAAAATCCAAATACCTAAAATCTGATAAAACAAAAACAAACATTAAACATATGCACAGATGTTTGTATTTACATTGTAGTAATATAATCTAATCTTTTTTGACATGTTACCTAAAAGAAATAAACTCTATTATGTGCAGTATTAATCTCCAGGATACAGAACTAATGCCTATGCTGTTTTGTAAATGATAATGATAATTCAATATATGAATGAATGTACATACATGTCCTTGGACTTGGAAGATTTCATTCCTGATTCCAGATGTGGTATCATAGATCTCAGGTAAGCTTTCATGTCCATTCCACTAAAAAAGACAGAAAATGATTATTCATATTTCTTCAGTAGACCTCATTTTATTTGTAAAATCAAAACCACAGGGTAAATGTCTCCAAGGAAAGGCAAAAATTAAAATAGTTAATGTAATATTTTGCCATACTAACATAGAGTGATTTTTATGAGTCAATGTCTAGAAACATTCCCACCTAATTTAATGCCATAATATGATTTACTTTTTAATACTACTAGATCTTACTTATAACTCACAACTGGCGATTGCTAAGACTTGGTTAAACTAAGTACTCTTCTGTTCCATTCATTATTCACAGTCCCTCTACCATTAAAACAAGCTAAATGAAACACTGAATGAACTTACAAAGTTTTTGGTCTCTTCTTTTGCATTTTGTCGTCCAAAAGTGAATGATCAGTTTCTTTCAAGTCCTTTGGGTTAGCAGAGAAGAACATTCTTGGCATTTTGTCCAGCCTTGGCGCGGAGATGGCTGCTGCTCTCATAGTCCTCTCACAGCAAGTGTCTGTTAGCCAACGTCTCTGCTGCTTTATACAGCCAAGGCAGACAGGCGTGTGCTGTTCAGAGGAGTCTGTTTATGAAGTGATGTTACCACAGACCCTGGAAGTTCCTCCTTTCTCGATGTATTGTGACGTGTATCTTGAAAAAAAAAAAAAAACATACTCTGATGTCTTGTGGTTGAAACTTAACCAAATGAGAACGGGTCACTTGATTAGAAAGAAAAAAAAAAAGAAAATTAAACAGGCAGAGTCACACATGCAGAGATTGCACATCTACAGCAGTAGTAGTGTCTGTCTTTGGTTTGGGGGAAGTGTCCATGTTTGTTGTGGAGAATTGCATATTCTAATAAAATGTTTCACTTGATGTATGGTATCATATATAAACTCAACAATAGAGTTGTATCTTCTTCAGTGCTTTGGATTGTCCTTGACTATAATATTTTGAAAGAGCTCCCCCGACCCTGAAGTGGTGTAAATAAATATTTTTTGTTTATTTTTACACCTGTATGGTAGAAAGGACAGATATGAGGGAGTATCTTCAACTTGTCTCACTTTGACCCTTATCGCTTATTTTTATGGCAGGAAATTTTTATGTTAATGATTTTTCCAGGTATGTGCTAAGTGTTTTACTGCTGATACATGTGATCATTATAAAGTGTACATCTTTTAAAGTATTTATTAGGAGTATAATCAATATATCAAGCTGATGGTTTGCATATTGCTGCTTAGAAAAAATTAAGTAAAATTTAAAAATACCTATAAATAAATAAAAGTATAATTGATACACAGGCTTATAGTATATGAGATGTGATCACAAAATACAGTATAGTAAATGTTTAAATTTAAAAAAATAATTATAGTAGAAGACACATTGTTATTAATCCCCCTCAAAATACTCCCCCTATTTGAACACACATCATTCTTGCCACTTTCTCAAGCAATTCTAGAAGTCCTCTTTTGTGAGTGTCTTTAGTTATACTGTTGAGGCTGCCTTGCTGTCCTGAATTGATTCAAAATACTTGTCATTCATGGTCATTTTGACTTTGAGGAAGAGCCCGAAATCTCATGATGCCAGACCCAGTTAATGAGGTGGATGTGGAGATGTGATAATGTTTTTACAGGACTTTTCTTTGGGGCTCTCTGCAGCAGAATTCGTGGTAATTTTGATCATGTCTTGTAAAGACATGAAAGAGAGCTTCCAGAACTGTTTCAGAATGATAAAGCAAAGCAAGGGGAAGTATTCTCAACAAGGTTAATGGCAATGTGTCTTTTTTTATAAATTTCTTAAATGTAAACACATGACCCTATATTTTGATTGGTCCTTGTATGAGTGCACTGATACTAAATAAATAAACAGTATCACAAAAAACCCACTCAAAGTAAGATGAGTTTAATTAGATAACCAGTAATTTTTTGCTACTTGGGTAATGATCCTCCAGATTTTGGCAATATCACTAGTGAGATATAGTGTAGCTTTTGAGATTAAAGTCTAAAAAAAAATCCAAAAAGCTGAATGGCTAATAGTTTATCAGAGTAGACGAGTTAGTGAAATTTAAGTTTTTATAGAATTTATATAGAGTGCATGGATTATTTATAGGATTTCCAGTTTAATATAAACATTCTTTGGATTTTGCCCCTGAAAAGACAGTTGTAGAGAGTTTTCTGATGGTATTAGAAGCACTAAAGAAGAGCAAAGTATTATTTTTTTCCATTCTTGTTCTATCATAGGATAAGCAATATTTAAAGAAAACATGTTTACCATATTGTAAAACTCATAGTCATGTGCACACATCATATTTTATGTAACAGCATCATTTAATGTTAGAAAGATAATGTGACGCATTAAACAGAGCTAGTGAGATTCGATAACCGCTTTGGAAGTGACCTGAACAAAACCGATAAGAGTATTAGCACTGATGACATAAAGACGTGTGTATACTTCCTGCTAAAATCTGCAGCATTGCTCATGATTATTTATCTAATAATCTTTTACTCCTCTAGATAACAGTGTGTAAGTTATGTTAGAAAAAATAATTTAAAGTTTTTTTGAATGGCCTGCTATAATTATCCAAATATACTGTTAGTTTCCTAATAAATTTCTGAAACAATAGTTTGCTTGGGTGTCAATAAGCATTATAAGAAACAAAAGCAGGAACAAAATTTATGCACTATATAAGTTTGGACAATGCCTGTTTCTAACTTTTTAAGAAACAAACCCTCTTTAGATAGGAAAATATTTTCTAAAATAATTATTGTCTTGATACCACATTTGTACACTCTTTTCTGAGATCAGAATAAATATTTACTTATGTATTAAGGAATTGCTTTAAATCTCCCAATATTTTCCTATGTGATACAGTCTTTCAAGTTCAAATGTTTTCAAGTAATTATAATTGCATGCTTCTAAATGCAAATATAGAAACAAACTGTGACTCTGAAATCTGTGTGTCACAGTTGGCTATTAAAAGCATTATAGATTAATGGCACAGTAATTGGCTGTTGTTTTGACTGTGTTTGCTCACTCATGCAAGAACTGTAAGTGCCAGAGCAAGATAAACTTGGTCCACTTGAATCAGCAAAGGCTGAGGAATCCATAGCAGAGCATTGAGAGTTCCTGATCAATCTCACCCAGGGTCACTGTCTGGCTTTTCTTTGTGAAATTCACTAAGAAAAGGCAAACTACCAAATAATAATTTTATTTAACTAATGGCTTTGGATGACATTTTATAAGATTTAAACTAGGCGTGCTGGCAATCTCCTGTAATCTAAGCACTCTGGGAAGCTGAGGCTGGAGGATGGCGGTTTGAACCCAGCCTGGGTGATGTAGCAAGACCCTGTATCTAAATATAAAAATCGAAAACTTAAAAGCAGCTGGGACTGTAGCTCGGTGCAAAAGGCCTTGGGTTCTGTCCACAGTACCAGCAGAAAAAAATTTTTTAAAATGTTCCATTAAAAGAAACAATGGCACACACACACACACCCACACACAAACACACACACACCCCATTTTTATTTTACTTGTGTGAAATTATGCTTAAGTAACTTAGGAGTCCTAAGAAAAGTAATTTTTCTGTGGTGTTAGTGTTATCTATTTTTTTTTAAATAGACCTTAATTTAGTGCGGTTTTAGTGAAATTGAGCACTATCACCATGCCCCTCCCCATATTCTACCAGCAACTGTGTCTGTCATCAATGTGGTGTATTTGCTATAATTAATGAACCTGTAGTTTCCATTAGAGTTCACTCTTAGTGCTGTGTATTACCTGGACTGTATGATGACATGTAACCACCATTGAAGCATTATAACAGAGTAATTTCGCTGCCTGAAATTGTTAGTGTTACATTGTTTAAAAAATACTAGGAGATTGACTCAGTAAAATATTTCAGGTTATAGCTATTAATTTTGAGAAGGGAAATGAGGGAAATTTTAATCTTTGCTGAACTTATTTTATATTATGGTTAGAATCACTTCACCTTCCTTGTTGAAGGTATCTGAATATTAGTAGGAGCTGTTTGGGAGAATGGCATGTCCAATCTTCATATTGATTAAAATTATATTGAATATTTATTGGATTGCTGAAATTTGTTGTAGTAATAGGGGTTTTGAAGCAAAAGACAATGAGTATGAGATTGTATTATAAGAAATATATATTGAAGTCTCACTGTCATGAGCAGAAACTTTGAGCCTTTGAAACAAAATATCTTGATTCAACAAATTTAATTGCCTTCTGATGGACAAAAGTTACTGCAAATACAAAAGTGAAAGAATCTCTGGTGTAGTAGGACAGATAGATTTTTGAGCAAGTATTCCAAGTGCTATCAGAGAGTAACATACAGAAGGAGTGGCTAGCTTTGCAGGTTTAAGAAAGAAGCAAAGTGGTGCTGCATTTACCTCACAATGAACACATGTTCATTCTTTGCCTCTTTTCTGCATTTGTATTCAGCACTCACTCCTTGGAAAGTGCATGAGATGGCACTGAAGAGAGGGTCTTCAGCAAGTAGACACCTCTTACACGTTTAAGGTCATGGAAGAATGGGTCATATATATAATGCAACACTTCGTAGGTTCTGGAAGACTTTGTTGGTAGTTAGAGATTGAAACTACTGGAGTCATTTATGGTTGTTCAATACCTTGACTCACTGCTGGGATCTTTTTTGGCTCCTACAGTCTCCCAGGTTTTCAAGGTTTATAGTGCTACCAATAGCATTTCAGCTAAATTTCAGAGAGTTCACGTGAAAAAAATTCAACAAAGTTGAGTTTGAAATAATTTTTCTGTGTGTAGTTGTGATCGTTAAGATTGGTAGGGACATTCATTCTTGATTTGTATCATTTATGAATGAAAATATTAAACATTTTTAAATTGCTTACTATTGTGCTTTCTAAATGGAGAAATCTGCTGATAGGTTTTAATAAAAGCAGATGTCTATAACTTGGTTCAGTTCAGTGATGTCAGTAGATGTAGCTGAGCAAGATAAGAATCTAGTTTCCTTTTCTCACCCTGCTGTGTTTGACTTCTAGTCAACACCTAATACCTCTTTTCTATAAATTGAGAGTTTATAGGAAAATTGAATGTGGTCCTTTGGCAAACTGGGATCAGATGATTCTACAAAACCTTATTCACCCTAGGTTTCATGTTGCCATTTAGGTCTTCATTAATAGCACCATTTCCCATATCACTTCTGAAAATATTAAAGAAGTATTTGATTAATATTATTTCTTATATATTTATTCCATGTTAGAGTCATCTGTATCATCACCCTATCATTTATAATTGTTTTAAGAATGGAGAGAGATCATGGACTCTATTTAACTGAGCTTTGAAAATAAAATTCAGATAGTACTGAAGCAAGTGTCTTCTCACCAAATACAAATGAATGAAGCGCTGTGATATGAAAACATTAGCACATATTTGGAAGTAGGGTAGGATGTTCCATTACACAACACATGACATAAATATAAAAATAAAGAACCTCAAAAGTCAGCGTGTAGAGACAATTTATAAAGGAGTAGTTTAAATATTAAGGAATAAGTGATTGTGCTAACTTTTTAGGTTTCTAATAACACCATCCCAGTGATTTGCA